TGAAGCCAAATAATGGAAAGGGTCATCATCATCAGCAGCAACAGCAACAGGTGAAGAGTTCTGTGCCTAAAAAAAACAGACAAAAACCAGGTACGAGGAAACAAGGTGGGATCATCCCATGCGGCAAGCGTACGGATTTTGGGTACCATAAGGATTTTGATAAGCGTTACACGATTGGGAAATTGTTGGGACATGGGCAATTCGGTTACACCTATGTTGCCATAGACAAGGAGAATGGGGATCGTGTTGCCGTTAAGAAAATTGATAAAAATAAGGTAATTTTTAAGTGTATCTTTATCATCCTTTGCTTGATTGTGCTTCTGGGATCACGGGGTTAGTTATTTAATTCACCTTTTCTTTTCCTTGTATCCTTTTCTGTCCAATTCAAGGGGGATTTTTTAAAGGGTGTAATTTTTTTAGTGCTATTTTGGATTAAAGTTGTTTATAATGGAGGGGGTGAAGGAATGTTGGCTTGTACTTTGAATTCCTTATTGATAATATATAATTTGCTGTCTTGGATATGAAGCATGGGTATGGGGATCTTTCTCTTTGCTGTTTTGTAATCTAATGATTGGAGAAATCGTTTTCCCCCTTTTTGTTGCTCTTAGTATAGAAGCATCATCGCCTTAACCATGGCAAACTTAAGTGGGAATTGGCGATAACCTCCTGTGATGATCTTGGATCTATTATTTCTTCGGCTTGACAGTATTATTACAGTTTTAAGACCTCGGTATGGAAAAATTGTATAATTGCAAATTTGTGACTGCAAATTTTCTATAATTGAATTTGATTGTCAGCATGATTGAAACTAACATCCTCTAATCTGCATGTCTTCTGTACTACTAACTGTCACTCAATAGGATAGATGCAGAGTGAGGATATTTTGTAGAAGATCATGTAGTCACACTAAACTATTCTAAATTTGATGAGTGTGATTTCTCTTTTGCTGTGCTTTTCTGGTGAGGTGTTGCTTTCTTTTCATTTTTCATCTCAAGATGCTTATTTCTGTAACAAATGGTTACGAGTAGTAACTGTTGGCAGTTTTCATCTCTTTGGTGTCTGCTAAGCTTTCTAGCTTAGTAAACTTTTTGCTTTCCTTGTCTTGCAAAATATTGCCTTTAACATAGATGCATAATGCATGAAGTTTAAATGTTTGGCTTGTAAAATAATGTAGATGCATGGGATTCTATTCTTTTCCATCCTGAAGTGAGACTTCTTTTCTTATTTGAAGTTCCTGGTTTGGGTGCAGATGATTCTTCCAATTGCTGTTGAGGATGTCAAGCGAGAGGTCAAAATATTGGAAGCGCTGAAAGGCCACGAGAATATGGTTCAATTTTATAACGCATTTGAGGATGATTCCTATGTGTACATTGTTATGGAGTAAGTCCTATAATTTATCTTCTTTCTGGTCGCTCATTCAGTTCTGATTTTCTTTGCGTTATCTCCTTTTTCTCGTCTTCTGATGCTCAGTTCTGCACCAAATAGTTACAAACCTGACTCTGTTGTGTGTTGGTGTCGTATCATTCTAGATTATGTGAGGGTGGAGAATTGCTGGACAGGATTTTAGCAAAGTAAGGATGTTTAGTTATTTTTAAGAGCTGTTACTTCTCAAAAATTTGTATTTATTGTCCAAATATAGTAGTCAGTACTTCCTTTCCCTTGATGTTTTTAATAGTGTAACAACCAGTAGTAACTTATGCTTACCATCTTCTATCAGAAAATACAGCCGTTATAGTGAAAAAGATGCTGCAGTAGTTGTACGTCAGATGCTCAAAGTTGCGGCTGAGTGTCATTTGCGTGGCCTGGTGCACCGTGACATGAAACCTGAGGTATGCTCAAGTACTTTAACATGGTTTACTTGTAAACTTTCCTTTAGGAAGTTATGCTGCTTGCTTATGGTTTCCTTTTTTTTTTCCTGCCTGTAGAATTTCCTTTTCAAGTCAACCAGAGACGACTCACCTCTGAAGGCCACAGATTTTGGTTTGTCAGACTTTATCAGACCTGGTGAGTAGCATTTGCTTAATTTATGGTTTTTTAAAATGATCAGGCGCCGTCATCAATCTATTTCATGTTATGGTTTTTGCAACTCTTGTCATTGTGCTTAGTTTCTGTTTAACTTGCTAATGTTATAATCCTCACCCAAGCAATACAATCCTAAAGTACGACTAAATGCAGGGAAGAGGTTTCGAGATATTGTTGGTAGTGCTTATTATGTTGCTCCTGAAGTACTAAAAAGAAGGTCAGGGCCTGAATCAGATGTATGGAGTATCGGTGTAATTACCTACATTTTGCTCTGTGGGAAGCGTCCCTTTTGGGATAAGACTGAGGATGGTATATTTAAGGAGGTGTAGTACATTTCCATATCATGGACCTTGATTTTCCCCCCTTCATTATGGGTTTAGTCATTTTATTTTATTATCATCAGATATAGACAGAATATTACATTGGTGCTATGCATGTTTCTGCACTTTATTTAACCCTTTATGCTCTAGTTTTTGGCTGTCTTCTATTTCCATGAATAATAATCTTTTTCCTATAAAATTCACTTGGTAATGTCCTAAGATGTGTTTTATTATTTTGTTTTATAATGTGTTTATTTTCTGGAACATTTATATGCAACTGTCAATCACTGCAGGTTTTGAAAAACAAGCCTGATTTTCGTCGTAAACCATGGCCAACAATTAGCAATGGTGCTAAAGACTTTTTGAAGAAAATATTGGTGAAGGATCCTCGGGCTAGACTGACAGCAGCACAGGCCCTATGTATGTTGCATCGTCCCTTAGTAAATTATTGCTTTTTCCGTTTTTCTTTTTCTCTGGCTCCAATGAAGTGAATATTACATGCCAATTTTGCTATTACCCACTTGAGTAATTCTTCTGTCGCTTTATGATTTCATCCTCCTATTTATTTCTAGAATATCTGATTGGTTTCAACTTCTGCAGCACACCCATGGGTTAGGGAAGGAGGAAATGCATCTGATATTCCCGTTGATATATCTGTTTTGAGCAACCTTCGGCAATTTGTGAAGTATAGTCGATTGAAGCAGTTTGCTCTGAGGGTAAACATAGAATTTCTTCCTCTTGAAACATTACTGGATTATTTTATCGTTATAGGCTTAAGAGGCTACTGTTCCCTCCTTTCATTGTTCACCTCTTTATATATAATGATTATTATCCTGTAGGCATTGGCTAGCACACTTAATGAAGAGGAGATAGCCGATCTTCGGGATCAATTTGATGCAATTGATGTGGATAAGAATGGTTCTATTAGTCTTGAAGAAATGAGACAGGTGAACATTTCTATTATGCCTAAATTCTATTAGATTGTAGAAAGCATTTTTTTTTGGCCTAATTAGGATGGGTATTGGTGCAGGCCCTTGCTAAAGATGTTCCTTGGAAGCTAAAAGAACCACGAGTGCTTGAGATTCTTCAAGCGGTGAGTTACAGTTTCCCTTTTCTCCATCTAATTTCTTGCATTTTTGGTTCCTTCTCCCTCATAAATATTATTTCCTTTTAGTGGTTTGATTGTTGTACACTATTTTTTTTTCATTTCAGATCGATAGCAACACAGATGGACTTGTTGATTTCACCGAGTTTGTTGCAGCAGCATTACATGTGAATCAAATGGAAGAACATGATTCTGATAAGTGGCAGCTGCGGTCACAAGCTGCATTTGAGAAATTTGATGTAGATAGAGATGGTTTTATAACTCCAGAGGAACTAAGGCTGGTAAGGGTTCTTTTTTTGGTGTTGATCATTTTTCCTTTTCTGAAAATGCTGTTAATTCCGCTACGATTGTCAACATTATTCTGCAATTCAATCTAGTCCTGATGTTTGGGAACAGACTTTATTGCTTGTAAAAAGTGTTCTTTATCTAAACATTTTATGAAGATTGTTACCGGCATAATAGTTATGTTCCCCTGCTCACGTTGTGTTTTTTTTTGGTAGCATACGGGCTTAAGAGGTTCCATTTATCCTTTGCTTGAGGAGGCTGACATTGATAAAGATGGAAAAATAAGCCTTTCAGAATTCCGACGACTTTTACGAACCGCAAGCATGGGTTCATGTAATGTATCTAGTCCATCTTGCAGGAACACTCGGAAGTTGTAGATTAAACATGAAAAGAGAAGAAAAACAGACCCTATTTTTTCGGATTGTGCTCACCAGTCTACCGGTCTCCATCAATACTTCTAGGGACCCTTTTTACTAGAATCTCGTTTGATGGCATCTGCTGAAAGGTATTGGATATAAGAGTGTTGATGTTAGGCTCTGGTTGTGGGATAGCTCCAGGTTATGGTCATTCTATGTACGTCTCTTTTTTGTTGGGGTATTTCTTGTTTTGCCCTCCTAATTTGTAACATGTGACTAAATAAATTATCGATGAAAATATGGTTCACCGGAAATGAAGTGACAGCTCCTCCTATACTAACATAATTTAACAATCCAACCGACGTTGGCGTGGGGCAGTGTTTGATTAGTTTTCCTTCTATATTAGGTGAGATGCCCATTTGATACTGAGCTACCTGATTGGTTTGACTTAACTGCTTGAAAGATACCAAGTACCTGCTTCAGCAGCTCAAAGTCAAGTTGCCGCTGGCAAGTGCACCTTATTGCTGCTTCATTCATTCAACTTGTCCAATGGAAACAAAAAATAAAAACGGGAAAAGATGGATAATATATGACCGCCAACAGGGAAGTAATTTTTACTGCAATAATTGCAGTGTTGAAAGCGAACAAGTCTTTAATTGGCACTCGTCCACAACGACAGGTGGGACTTCCCATAGCTAAAAGTTCTTCGTACAGTAAATTTTCGAAGAAAACTTGGTCCGAGGAGAAGAAAATAACTTACAAACATGGATTTTGCAGCAAAATCTCCACCAATTGACAACAATTCCTTCATGACCAGGAGAAAAATAAGGATTTCTCTTAGATGATATTGACCGTCAGCTGGTATGAATAAAATAAATTTACAATGCCTATACGCCTAGATGATGCCACTGATGGTTTAAGACAAGTTAAAAGCATCTGTCAAGTAAAATCTATGAGGAGAAATAAATACGAGTTTCTGTTTTCAAGTCATAGCATGTGCCACAAGAGTCTTGGCAACAAGCAGAAAATACACGTTTTAAGCTGAAATCAGGGTGTTAAGATTAAGGGGGTGTCACGTTAAAGACATGTTAGCATGGGATGCTAATATTCACTTGGACTTTGAAACATCATCCACACTGTTAGAGGAGCTGTCATGAAGATCTCGAGACGAAGAGTAATGGCTCAACGAGCTACTGCTCACCATACTTCTGTCCTTTTGTGTTCCCTTGCCTTCCTTTTTTCCGGCAGACAAATCCTGCATATGACATTCAGTTACATTATTTTCAGCACCCCACACATTATAACATGGGTTTATATGATGATGATAAAATAACCTCATTTTTCGATGATCCGGGTATTTTCAGTTCAAGTTCTGTCGCCACGTTGTTGGAGTCATCACATCTATCTCTATTACTTCCTCTTTGGTAATCCTCCAATTTGCTTTCTGAATCCTTTTTGCTAGAAGTGTGGGAAGCATATGTACATTGGGATGATGGCTGTTCAACTGGAGGACTGCTGGTGGTTGAATATGGCATGAGTGTTGAGCAGGGATTGGCAATAACACCGGAATTATGATTTCCGAAAAATGGATATGGTTGCAATAAGGGGTGGTGCATTGCAATTGGGCCCCTAGCAACAGGCAGAGGTACTGGATATGGATAAGGTGGAGCCATGACACCTGAAGGATCAATACCAGTCCATGGGAACATGACCATACGTCTCTGCTGATACTGAACAGTTAGGTTTTCAATATCGGTTTTTAGAGAAGCCTTTTCTTCTCTCAGCTCATTCTTCTCCTGTGACAGCTCGCGCGATTCTTCATTTAGTGACGAACTCTCAGCCTTTAGTCTGTTGACTTCTGCAGTTAAATCCTTAAGCATTTGGGTCGTGTCTGCAAGTATGGTTGCTTTATCATTCTTAGGCCTATCCGGGTCTGCATTACCGGAAAAAATGCATTAGGAACAAGCAGGATCAGAAAATTCAAGGTTCAATTCAAGCTAACAGAACAACTTCATGGAAAGCTAGCTTAAATACATCAATCCAGTTATAATGAAGCCAAAGTTTTCAAACAAAGATGGAGTATACATTATTTTAGATCTGAGGAAAAACGAAACAGAAGCTGCAATCAAGGTCCCAACTCACTGTGTTAAATGTTTCTAGTAAAAGCCATCCTTATGCCACTAAATATATAAAATCCAATAAGAAAAATTGGAAAAGCATCTCAGAGTTTAGGCATCAGGAAGAAACGAGGGGCATTCCTTCACTTCCCGATTTGTTTGCTGCCGTATGCAATACTTTTAAGCTATGTGCTCAAAACATGAAACAAATTACATGAAATTTACCAGAAGCTTCAAGTTAGCCGAGTTAAGTAGATATCCCAAACTCGACCTTGAACTGATTTCATACACACAACGATATATAATAATTGAATACATCAGATGAGCATCAACAATCAAATGGCAATGCAATGGTTCAGTTGTTACTCTGCCAACGTAATGAAGACCTCTTAGCTACCGGAAAGGCCGAGTTTTCCGAGTTCAATAGTGTCTACACTAACTCAATGAAGACCTCTTAGAAACTGTAAAGGCTGAGTTTTCCTAGGAACATATACAAATCCAATGCCATATGATTAATTATCAGCAATAAACAATCAATTAATCGTCGTAAGTTACCAAGCGTGTTTCCCAACTCAAGAAACTGCTCATTCAATTTGTCCCTCCTCAGTTTTTCACGGTCTGCCTTCTGAACTTTTCTTGCAGCTACTGGATCCTTAATTTCCATCTCTAGCTTTTCTCTGCAAAAAAAAAAAAAACAAACAAACAAACAAACAATAATCAAGGAATATCAACCGATAATACATTCCTTTTAATCAACAATAAAGTAATAATCATTACGAATGAAAATTAAACTACGTCATAAACATGAAACGGCATAAGTGCAACAAAACAATAGTAAAAATAAAAACCTGGGTTCAGAGTGTGAAGTGCTCAAATCTGCTGCCATGGCCTTAGAGAAATCGCTGGGGTTCCATTGCTGGCTTTTCCACGGAAATATTTGCACACACGAGAAGCTATAAATCAAATTAGGGTTTCATACTTGATTCTTAAGATCGAAGCTGATGATCCAAAATTAATTTTTTCTTTCTTTCTTTTCTTCCTGTTATCCGAGGAACTTAGAATTTCTGATAAAGAAATCGTAAATATGGCACAAAGTGGAAACCACGGCAGCACTAACTTGTGTTCTCCACGAACCTCGACCACGTGTCGAACTCGAACTTGTTCCTGGTCCTGTCTATTATTTATTTTAGGGTAAACTACATAAATGGTCCCTAAATTATAGAGTTTTATTTTTTTGAATCCCTCGACTATTAAATATTATAAAATCGTCCATCAACTATAAGATGTTATTTTGTTAAGTCTCCGACTATTAAAAATTACAATATGATCACCGACTATTCATATTTTAATGATGTGCCATTGTTGATTGGAACTTAATTTTTTTGAATAGTTGAGGTGATTATAAGGTAGTATCTATTTAGAAAATTTTTAATCCATTGTTTACGTGTATACCCCTACAGACATAACTGTTCGAACTCAAAACTTCTAAGAAAAATAATATTCTCTCTCAATTAGGTCTAAGCCTCGGAGAAAAAGAAGTATTTAATTACCGAGTCAAATAATTTTAAAAGTCATATTATTTTTATTTTAAAAAGAGAATATACAAGGGTCTAAAAACTATTAAATCTAAAATTATTGAACAATGAGAGGTTTTTCTTGAAATCTCTTATCTTTCTGTCCATAATAAAAGGATAATGTTGATCTTTATGTGGCCCAGTATGGTACTAAAATAACAGTTAACAACCGATTCAGTTGGGAGCCATAGCCATCAGCAGTATAAAGCAGTTCATCCAAAATGAATGAACTGATTCTAAGGTGTTTTTGGGAAGAAGATACAGGTGAGGTGTATTTTCATTCAGAATGTTATCATCCATCCGCCACAACTATCATTAGGACAGACGAAAAATCTTATATTACGGGAAATGAATTTTTAAAATTTTAAAAATATACAAACTTATAAAACTGTCGGAAAATAATTATCTCTATTCGTCTTCCTCAGTTCATCCTTGGCTATCGTTGGTTTTTATCTAATCGTTAGTAGCTTGTGTTTTTTTTTTTTGCATGAAAAAGTGTCAATTTTGGTTTGAGTTGATGGTGACTTAATTTTTTTTTATCGAATTTGAATCGATATGATTTTATTTATATTTGAACAAGATGATTTAATATTTATGAGATTTTTCGAGATTTTGAAAATGATAACATCGTCAATGTTGAATCCAACGCACCAATATATTTCTGTTATGATGGCTATACTTAATGGTGTAACAGTAACTGTATCCATGATGGTTACACTATTTTTAGACTTATCTCCTCAAATAATATATTTTCTTTATATGATTTGGTTTTCAGTCAAACAATCCCATCTCTGCATTTCTAATTTATTGGTGTCTTTGTGACTTGTAATGATTTACAAATTATTTGATAAAATAAAATAATTTTCTTATAAGTGATTAATAATTTTTTATTTCGCTTTTAATTACATTTAAAACGTAATAAGTGATTTTCATATAAAAATGTAATCAGTGATTAATTTCACTGTTTTTTCCCTATCCTTTTCCAAAATGACTTGGCCGGTGTGGATAAATCATAAGAAAAATTACTATTTAAATTGAGGCGCTGCAATAATTGCTAAAAGTTTATGATTTTAGCTTAAGATTAATCTTTGTATGTTAACAAAGTTTGAGATTGATTCTATTCATTTAAAATTAAAATTTTCATTATTAAGTTATACCTCGAAGACTTCATATTTTTAAATATGAACATTAAATATCAAATTTTGTTTCAATACAAATAATTTAATATAATAAAAAAAATGAATTGTTTTCACATGATGAAATTTGAACTTAAATCTTAAAAATAATATCCTTAAAAATATATTTATAAATTATAAAAAAGAGGATATAAGATAAATGAATAAATAAAACACGGATAAACCCAAAAATTGAACGGCAGAGTTCACTAGCTGACTCAGCCGAAACTCGATCTGTCGACCAACAGAAATCGGATAAGCGATGCATCAATTTGCTCGATCAAGTAACCATAGTTAAGAGGCTAAAAGTCAGAATAAAATTAAAATTAAAAATTTTAAAAATAAAATAAAACCTTAACTTTTTTTTTCTCCCAATACATTATTATATATAGTCCCCCGCCCCTCCAATTGTTTCCCGAAACAAAGGAACTCCGTAACGGAATCATACGATGCTCTCTTCTCTTTCTATCTCAACCTCTCTTTTAGTTTCTCCAATTTCTCTGCCGTCAACTTCCCGTGCCAGAGTCCGGCCACCTCACGCCTCTGCTACCTGCGCTAATACTTACACTTCTCAACAAGAGAAAGGATCGACGACCGGTTATCTGAGCCGTCCAGGAATGGCAGCGTGCACGTCTCTGTACCAGGTTCTAGGGATTCCCATCAGTGCTTCGAATCAAGAAATCAAGTCGGCGTACCGCCGGTTAGCTAGGGTTTGCCATCCAGATGTGGCGGCAATTGATCGGAAAGATTCATCGGCGGATGAGTTCATGAAGATCCACGCGGCGTACAGCACCTTATCGGACCCCCAAAAACGGGCCGTATATGATAGTAAAGTTTTCCGGATAGGCCAACGGCCGTTGACTTCGGAATCTAGGTTTTCAGGATACAGGGGGAGGAGTTGGGAGACCGATCAGTGCTGGTGAAATGGTCAACTCTCTCATTAACGCTACAGAGTTGGAATTCGGAATTCAATCAACGGTTTTTAACCTGCAAAAAATCTGTACAGTTAATCAGTTAAGTACATATCTCAGAAAAAAAGAAAGCTGATCTATTAACGAGAAAAAAAAAACCCAGCCGAGGAGTTTAGCGGGAGAAATCAGTCATTGATTGTGTCACGTAAGAGCTTCGCTCTTTTTTCTTTCGCCTTTGTGCTTTGCCTGATGCATCGACGAAGAAGACTCTGCGAAACCGTTGTACTTTTACAGCAGTTGAAAGAATTAAGGTTTCTTTGCTTAATTAATACTATTACACACTCTTTGTTATGTTAAATATTATTACGCAATTCTGTGGTGAATTTTTGTTTATGTCAAATAAGGAACGAAAAAAAAAATCGAATCACAAGAATTTTGTATTATTTTAAAATAAAAAAATTAAGAAAAACAAATTAAACAAATTCTATGTTTATTCCGTTAAGAAAAGTCTGTTTGTAGACTATCAAAGTGTATTCGTATTTCTGAATTTCCTTGCCCATTTTTTCTCTAAAAAATTGGATTCAAATACAAATTCAATCTAATGACTTTAACGTTTAAGTAATCTCAATTTTGATGGTAAAAAACATTCTTTATTCTACCAATTAAACTAACATGTACACCGACAAATACATATATTAAATTTGGGACTGACTAGCATTTGGAAAAGCCGAATGGAAAGGAGTGATATGGACCTCAACGATTTGTTTATATGAAACGCTTGTTTCTAGATAGATGATATTTAGGCGCATGCAAAGGACGAAATGAAATACCTTCAATTAATTTGGGAGCATCCATCGACTTGGAAGCATATGGCCACTGTTTTCTCCACAATTTGGAACAAAGTTGTATGTTATATGTTCTTCTAGAACCTTTTGGTTCCAGCTGTTCATTTGGATTTGTTTTTGTGGAAAATCCACAAAATTATTACTGTTCATTTGGATTTGTTTTTGTGGAAAATCCTTAGGCCTCACGTGTCAACAGAAGTGTATTCATTTCAGTTATGTTTTGGTGAAAATTTTCACATGCCTTCTACAATTGACAACGCAAATTAAGAAGAATCAACAAATTATATTTCTTCCTTTCTTATTTCCTTCCGTTTAAATACTATGAAAGCAAAGTTCTCTCATCAATATTATTAGGATTATTTATCATTTATCTAAAAAAATATTACTTAAATGTTTAAAGTTGTTGAACCATGTTTTATAATATTTTGATATAACAAATTAAGGCAAAATGTTTTTGGACTTGAATCGAATTTATTCAAAGTTTTCAAAAATAATTCAAAGTCCATTAAAAGTGAATTTGAGCACAAAACTGATTTTCACGTACGAAGTACCGATACTGTTCATGTAGTACCAATACCCTAGGTAAGTGAAGTATCGATACTCTCAAGGTAATACCAATACTACCAACTTGCTCAAATTCCAGAATGCAAAAAAGGTACCGATACCCAAAGGGGTACCGATACTACTTTACATAGTAGTATCGATACCATGAAGGATAGTATCGATACCGTCAGGCCCAACGACAAGTAACAACTATTTTATTTAAATATTACAAAGGTAATATCGATACTCCCTATAGGAGTACTGATACCCTTTATCATGAGTAGTTTTATTTTACAGAGGAAACATCCCTAACGGCTCCAAATCACTCCCAACAGCTAGAAACGACCACAAGCTCATTCCAACATATAAATACAAGTTCAAGACACTTGAAGAAGGGTTATAACACATATCCAAACAATCAAACACAAGAGAAACGTTTTTCACTCCTTATTTTCTTTCTTTTGTAAATATTGTGTTTTTGTGAGTTTTAATTTGTAAACAACTTCCTTTTTAGAGGTTTCTTTGTTTACATCTTTTTCCTTGTATAAAGGGGCTTTGGTTCTAGCTAAGCTTTTGAAAAGCTAGGGAATGTTATCTCTTTGTCCTTGAAAAAGAAAGAACAAATTAGTGAATATGTTGGAAAATCCTAAGTGGTGAACTTAGGTAGTAGATACAAACTTGGTTGTTAAGTTGAACCATTATAAATCACTGTATAAAATTTTCTATACTCTCTTTCTCCTTAATCCTTAATCCATAAACACAATTTGCCAATTCACCCCTCTTGGCCCTTTTTCAGTTGTCATTTGAGCTTTAACAATCCTAACAATTGGTATCATAGCTTAACTCTTTAGAAGGCTTCACATTCTTGAGACGATAATTGAAGAAGCTCTACCGATTTCCAGCACAACCGATAAGAAGATAACTTCAACCTCTACTTTCAACCAGTCAACAAGCCACCTTATTTCAATGGAGAAAATTATCATATTAGAAGAATAAGATATTCTCTTCATTCAAGCCAACGATCTAGGAGCTTGGAACTCAATCGTTAAAGGATACTTTATTCCAACCGACAAGATGGATGATTTGAGTGATGGTGAGAAGAAGAAGTTCCAACTCAATGATAAGGCTATGCACATCGTCTTTTGTGCATTATGCCCGAATGAATATGGAAGAGTCTCCTCTTGTTCTAATATAAAGGAAATTTGGGACAAGTTCTAAGTCACTCACGAAGGAACCAATGAAGTGAGGAAAACCAAAAGTAGTCTTCTCGACCATAACTATGAAAATTTCAAGGTGAAACTGGATGAAGACATCAAAGCTATAACATATAGATTTTTCGTGATTATCAACGGTCTCAAGGGATTTGGAGAAGTAATCCCTGAAGAGAAGCTTGTGAGAAAGATAATCTACTCTCTTCCAAAGTCTTGGCAATTAAAGAAGACGGTGATTATCGCAGCTAAGAACATCAAGTCACTCAATTTTGATGAGTTTATCGGTTCTCTTCTCACTCATGAGTTGATGGTAAAGGAAGAAGAATATAATAAAGAACAAGAAGAAGAAGGTATGCATTGCCTTCAAATCCACCAATGAGAGCAATTGAGATACAAATGAAGAGGTGGATGAAGATGATGATGAAGAAGAAGAGATAGCCAAGCTCTTCAAAAGATTAAAGAGATTTATGACTTCTAAGGAAGTGAAGCATGAATCAATCAAAAAGAAGAGTCCCCCAGTGTGCTTCAATTGTCAAAGAACGGGGCATGTCAAGTATGCATGTCCCCTTCTAAAGAAGAAGTGATCAAGTAAGAAGAAGGCATTTGTGGCAGATTGGAGTGATGAAGATGACTCCAATGATGAAGATGAAGTAGCCAATCTATGTCTTATGATCATCAATGAAGATTCAGTGGTAACTTCAAACTTTAGTTAATTAAATTATTATTCATTTGATGAGTTACAAGTTGCCTATGATGAGTTGTATTTGGAATTTGAGATCATGAATTCCAAATATAAGAAATTAATTTCAAAACTTAAAGTTGAAAATGATTTGGTTTTGAAAGCAAAAGTTGTTTTTGAAAAACAAAATGAATATTTGAAAAATGATTTAGAGCTTTCAAAAGTCAAAATCAATGATTTAGAAAAAGAAAATTTTGATTTGAAAGTTAAGCTTGAGATCTTAACAAAAGAAAAAGAATTAATTTCTAAAAACTACTCGTTATTTTTAAAAGTGGTAAAATGCTCACATTGTCATTTTCATGGTCACATGGAACATATTTGTCCCATAAAGAAAAAAATTCTTTTAAAATTAGACAAATATGAGTTCCTAAGGGAACAAGGGGCATTGAAACTAATGTTTAAGGATCCAAAGCAATTTGGATACCAAAATCTACTTAAATGTCTCTTGTAGGTGTGTGGGAGCAATGCTGATGAAAGTGAAGATATTTAAATGCTCTAGCCACACTTGAAAAGGAATGGGTAACATCTAAGCTTAAAAGCTTTTTGATTTTTGCATAATTGGTTTCTCATTTAATTTATGTATGCATGAGTTTTGAACTTAAATGATCTTGTGTTGATTTTCTATCTCATGTATGTTAAAAGGAATTATGATGAACATTTTCTAAAGTTTAATTTTTTTTCATAAATGTTTGTTCATCATAATAAATTTTGGTCAAAATTGGTTTTAAATGCAAATGATATCTCTCTAACAATTGATATCAATTTTTCAAATGCTTTGGTTTTACAAATTTTAAATTTTGACCTAAATTTAAATATTTATGCATATAGTTTAAAATGCAAATGATCTCTCCAACAATTGATATCAAAATTTTCAAATGCATAACATATTTTGGATTAATTTTTGCATATGCACTTAATTTCAACAATTAGTATTCCATAAAGTTTATTAGACTTGGATATATTGAATTTCATATGCTACTAACATGTTTGTTCATCTTTGTTGAAATTCAATTTTTTTTGAAGTGTCAAGCTTTTAAAAGTCAAATATTTGTTTGGAATGCTTTTATTAAGGGGGAGTTTTTGATTTTTCAAATGATTTTATGATAAAATTTACCACTTACTCTCCATTGTTATTTTTGAACCTTAAAGTTGAATTATTTTTTATATAACAAAAAAGGGGGAGAAGTTAGGTTTGAAAAATTCAATTTCAAGAATGAAAAAGGGGGAGTTTTAACGTTCTTCAAAAATATGTTTCTTTTTCATTAAATGTTTTCTTAAGGTGGAGTTTTGCCAAAACCATTTTTTCAAATGTTTTGTTATATAAAAGATGTGAAGATTGTTGAATCATGTTTTATAATATTTTTGTAACACCCCAACCCATATCCGACCCGGATACGAATCGAGGTGTCACATTGACCTTTCAAAACATGTACTTGTATAAAATAGTGAATAATTTAAAACTTTTATAACATATAAATGACTAATTTATATAAAAGAAAACATTTTCATTATTACAAAATCAATCAGAGCGTGTATATTTCACTTATTTATTTACATATAACTATTCAAAACATTTATAAAACTGTTCATAGCTTAAACAATGTATTCTGTTGAAAACATTCCAACTAGAACTTTATATACTAAAATACATATTATTCACATCTTTTCTGATATGACCTTTAGTAAGGAGAACTGACCTGTCTTGCTCCACATTGCTCTTTACTCTTCTCGAAACCTACGTGTAGAATCACTTACACGCTAAGTCAAAGACTTAGTGAGGCATATAAAACATATAATGTAAACGGTAACTAATAATCATACATAAACAATTACTATTATAATTTCATACAACTCATACTTTTACATGTAACAAATATATATATATATACATACATATATGTCCTTATCATTCATATCTCTTATCTCATGTTCCTATGATCTCTTATGTCCATATCATATATCTCATAGACTTATTATTATATCATCATTTCAA